GCTAGATACCTAGTAACCTCCGAAAACAAGGTATGTATGTTACCCCAAATATGCATACATACCCTTAACATACATACATACATACCTCTAGTTTCTAGGTATGTATGTTCCCCCAGACATACATACATACCTGTAATTTTCTAGGTATGTCTGTTTCCCCAGTCATACATACATACCTTTAACATACATACATACCTATGTATGTTTCCCCACACATACAAACATGACGTCATACACACGTTTAATACCCATGCGTCATACACACGCAGACATACATACCTGTCATTTTTCTAGCGATGTATGTGTCCCCACACATACATACATGACGTGATACACATGTCTAATAGCCATGCGTCATACACACGTGTAATTTTCTCGGTGTATCTGTTTCGTCACGAACATGCAGCAGCGGTGAGGGGTGTCACTCATAAATCGCGGGAGGGGGGTGCGGGGGAGGGCGCAGCGCCTCCCCCGCGGGGCGAGCGAAGCGAGCCCCTTCGCACGTCGACGACTGTGCAACGTATGTCTGATAACCAATTACTACCCCTGCCTCGAATGATGCGACGCCTCGGTCTGGGCAGGGCCGGGTATGTTTCGCCAGACATACATACCATACACACCTATCATTTTCTAGGTATGTAATATGTATGTTTCCCCAGACATACATACATACCAATAACAGACATACATACCTGTCATTTTCTAGCGATGTCTGTTTCCCCACACATACATACATTACGTCATACACACGTCTAATACCCATGCGCCAAACACCATGAGACTTACATCCATTCATACAGACATACTTCAATGCCCCCTCCATGGTCACGGGCCCTCGCAGACATACACGCACGCATGCATACATACATACGTACATACATACCTGCCTTGGGGGGGAGGTCACGGAGAGGAGCATGCTTCATTGCGTGAGACAGTCCACGTTCATGTATACGCACATCCCGAGAATGCCACATATCTCTCTTCCTCCTTATACTGCCTTCAAGGTCAAGGGCATGATTGTTGCAGGGAAAATACATACTTGAAGGTAATCTCTGTTTGGCCGACATACCCATACCTCCTCGGTGTGTGTTTCTGGGAACGGATATACATTAAACAACTAACGGTCTGTATCTGCATGGGAAACATACATACCGGAATATTGTGGGTAGGTATGTTTCTGCGAACCATACATATTTCAATCTCACGGGTATGTATGTTTCTCAGACCACGTACATACCTCCAAGTCCTAGGTATATATGTTTGTGGGACACAGACATACCTGGATAATAATGAGTATGTATGTTTGTGGGAAACATGCGTACCGAGACACTCATGCGTATGTATCTTCCTGGGAAACATACATACTTCAAACTGGGAGCCCTGCGAAACACACAGACCTCGCTTTTTACCTGATGCTATGTCTCCGAGGAACACTCATACCCGTGCTTTTGAGGTCTGTACGTCCGGACAATACATACATACATACATACATGCCTCTTCTTTTCTAGGTATATATCTTTCCCCAGACATCCATACATACCATACATACCTCTTATTTTCTAGGTATGTATGTTTCCCCGCCGGACATACATACATACTGGGTATGTACGACTCTTCTATGTATCCGAGAAACGAACATACCCGTGCTTTTGAGGTATGTACGTTTGGACCATGCATACATACATACATACCTCTTCTTTTCTAGGTATGTATGCTTCCCCAAACATACATACATACCACACATACCTCTAATTTTCTAGGTATGTATGTTTCCCCGGACATACATACATACTGGGTATGTATGACTCTTCTATGTCTCCCAGAAACATACATACCCGTGCTTTTGATGTATGTACGTTTGGACCATGCATACATACGTACATACATACCTCTTCTTGTCTAGGTATGTATGTTTCCCCAGACATACATACATACCAGACATTCCTGTCACTTTCTAGGTATGTATGTTTCCCTGGACATACATACATACTGGGTATGCTTTGAAGGTATGTACCTTTGGACCACGCATACATACATACATACATACATACATACATACATACATACATACATACCTCTTCTTGTCTCGGTATGTTTGTTTCCCCAAACATACATACATACCATACATACCTCTCATTTTCTAGGTATGTATGTTCCCCAGAAACATACATACCCCTGATTTTGAGGTATGTACCTTTGGACCATACATACATACATACCTAGTTGGGGGGGGAGGCAGGGGATGCCTGCTAGATACCTACTAACCTCCGAAATATGTATGTTACCCCCCTGGGGTTCTTACTCCTTGTAGGACACTTCTTGTGGGACACTCTTATAGGACTCTCTTGTGGGTCACTCTTATGGGACACTCTTGTAGGACATTCTTGTGGGACACTCTTGCGGGACACTCTTGTAGGACACTCTTGTGGGTCACTCTTACAGGACACTCTTGTAGGACACTCTTGTGGGACACTCTTGTAGGACACTCTTGTAGGACACTCTTGTGGGACACTCTTGTAGGACACTCTTGTGGGACACTCTTATAGGACACTCTTGTGGGACACTCTTGTGGGACACTCTTGTAGGACACTCTTGTAGGACACTCTTGTAGACACTCTTGTGGGTCACTCTTGTAGGAAACTCTTGTGGAACACTCT